CCCTCAGCTGGCTGCTCTGAGCAGGGGGTACCTGGGGATCTGGTATTACAATGTGGGAAACCCTGTGATGACCTCCTGACCACGTGACAATGGAGGAAGAAGGGGGGTCTTATTTTTCCCTGTGGGCCTTAAGACATTAACATAGGCACAAAAGGAAATGTGCTTAGAAGGGACACAGAGTGCCAGCCTCTGTCTTCACGTTCCCAATCCGGGCCTCAGGTACACAGACCAGGGTGGTGAGGAAGAGGAGGACCATGAGAGTGAGGAGCAGCTGCAGCACCGCATCTTGACGGCAGCCTTAGAGTTCGTGCCTGCCCACGGATGGACCGCAGAGGCCATCGCAGAAGGAGCCCAGGTGTGTGTGGGCAAGGCTGGAACAAGCCTGACCAGGGCCATCCAGGAGGGCGGGGCTCTAGGAAGAGCAGAGGTAATCCTGGCAGGGCTCTCCTCTGAGCTCCGATCTCAGCCGGGCCTGCATTGCCCTCTGCCCAGCAGCGAAGAACTCCCTCTTCCACCCATACCATCGCGCGCCCTGAGACTGACTGGAGGTGGCTGTTACCCACTGCATCCTGAGCTTCCCAAGCACACACAGGCGCTTGAGCCCACTGAAACCCGGGTGCTGTTGCAGAAGCGGAGGGCTCCGTAAGGAATGTGCCCCGGCGTTTCTCTTTCCTTTCCCCTCTGTAGTCCCTGGGCCTCTCCAGTTCGGCGGCCAGCATGTTTGGGAGCGACGGCAGTGAGCTGATTTTGCATTTTGTGACCCAGTGCAACGCTCGGCTCACCCAAATGCTGGAAGAGGAGCAGAAACTGGTGCAGCTGGGCCAGGCAGAGTGAGTCCGTGGCACTGGGCACTGAGGTGGCCGCTCCCACCGGCTGCCTAAGCAGGCCCGCAGAAGAGTAGCCAGGAGCAGCCCTGCTGCTTGGATGGGACTGATGCCCAGCATGGGCCTCAGGGCCCCAGGCGCTCCACTGCTGCCGGGCTGAGGAAGCAGTGGTAGCACCAGGCCCCTGCCTTTGACCCCACGCCACACCATTTTCTTTTCCCTCTTCCAGGAAGAGGAAGACAGACCAGTTCCTGAGGGACGCAGTGGAAACCAGGCTGAGAATGCTGATTCCCTACATTGAGCACTGGCCTCGGGTACAGAGTTCAGGCCCAGGCCCAGGCCCAGGCAGCAGGACTAACCTTCATAGGCCCAAATCTCAGCCCCTTTCACCCAGAGAGGCCTTTTGAACGTTCGCTCCTTCCTCTCCCCGGTGCCCCAGCTAGAGCTGGGTTTACAGCTCAGGAGAGCCACAGAAAGGGACCTGCTGAGGCAGCTGTGTCTCAGTCCGCAGTGAGGTCACCTCCTGGGTCCTCTCTGAAGGACCCGTGTCCAAGGCTAGAGAAGGGAGGGTTGGAATGGCCACTCAGCCTGGGCCTGAAAGCTGCCTGTGCAGCTTAGCCTGAAAGGTTCATCCCAGGGCCCCCCTTTCCTGGAGCTCCCGCCCCCGATTCGAGGCACGTCACAGTGCTGGGCTGCGTTCTCAGTGAAAGTTTGAAATCGGGGCCCATGAGGGAGATGGGGGCTCAGAGGTCATCAGGCGCCTGGACGCCCACTGGGAGAGCCTGCAGATCTGCAGCTCTAGTCAGTCAGCTGGCAGACATTTGAAGACCACTTGTGGACCCCACCACCAGCTGGTGATGGGCGAGCAAGTGAGCCCCGAGGGGCAGGCCCCTACCCGGCTTGGTTTTCAGTCTCCAGCCGTGGGTGTGTGTCTGCCTCGGGCTGCCTTGATTCAGCTGGAGTCTCCTCTAGGCTACTTGACAAGAATGTCCAGCCAGTCCAGGACCTCTCTGACCCAGTTCCTCTGGCTCAGCCAGTGGGTGTTAGTTTGTGATGGGGCAAGACTGTCCTTATAGGCAGGACAGGCTGATGTTGGCCATGGCGGTCTCTGGACTGGCCATTTGTGCTATCAGTCAAGGGCTTTTGGATTGCAGATAACCAGTCAGCTGAGTGACTGTTGCAAGAGAAGGGGGAGGAGTCTGTCCAGAGGTGGCAGTGGCACCTCTGTGAGCCCGGAGGGCAGCCTAGAATTCAAGCCCCAGACCCCTGCTCTCTGCTTGGTTCTTCCAGTCATGCCCTCACTCACAGCCTCACTGCACTGCATCCCGTCCCCAAGTGCAAGCGGGGAAGGCTCTTGGTCCTGAATCCCATCGCTCTAGTCAGGATTTCTAGCTGTCAGGAGCTCACACCAGAGATGGTGGGGCTCAGAGAACCAAAGCTGGGCAGCCTGACCTTTCGGGTGAGCCACCAGCCAGCGGAGGCACGGTGGTTAGCTGTGAGCAGCACCTGTGCCGCTTCTTCTCCACAGGCCCTCAGCATCCTGCTGCTCCCGCACAACATCCCGCCCAGCCTGAGCCTGCTCACCAGCATGGTGGACGACATGTGGCATTACGCTGGGGACCAGTCCACGGACGTGAGTGCATTCTGTCCTGGGCCAGGCTTGGGTGACAGAAGTCCAGGCCTTGCCCTGGGCTAGCACTTTACCTGTTCTTCAAGAAGACTGGGATGTGTGGGACAGCAAGGCAGGAGAGACCAGCGATGAAGGTCTGGGGAAGGCCCCTCAAGCCAAAGTGAGATCTAGGTCTTCACTGGGCCCGGCCTTCCAGCCCCCAGCCCGCACAGGGGACACAGGCGCCACAGGCTGCCTCTCTGTGGCCGGCTCCCCTCATGCCCCAAGAAGGAGGCTGTTCAGCACCCCCTTTCTGTGTCTGTGACGAGGCTGATTTTCAAGAAAATGCCACAGCAGCTCTGTGGCTTGGAGAAGAAACTCCTGCCCCCTCCTGCCCCACTTTGTTAAGAGATCAATAAGTTCCTTTCAACAGGCACCAGGCAAGACTGTGACTTGTTAATGCCATCATCTTTCTGGTAGGAAATTTAAAAAGTAAATGTATCCCTTTATAAAAGAAACTAATATGTGATGGCATGGTGGAGTCTCGGGTGGGACTGGCCATATAACTCAGTCTGTCCTGAGGGCGGTGGGGGGGGGGGTGTTGTGTGTGTGTGTAACATAGTGCTTTAATAAAGTTGGCTCATGTGGGAATACCAGCCAAGGGGGTGGGAGAATGAAATTAGAAACCAAAGAAATGAATAAAACATGAGCCAGTGCTGGGAAGCACAGCTCACCAGGAAGCCCCAAGTTGCTGAGGTACTTGAATTCTCCCAGATGTCCCCCTCTGTCCTTGGCCCTGCCCAGGCCTCAGTACGGAGGAGCACCCCAGGGTGTGGTCCCAGCAGGCCGATCCCAGAGTCGCCCTGGAACCCCACACCCGGCCACAGAATCACCCCATCCCGGCCCTGACCTCAGACCTACCAGCTGAGTGAGTGCCAGGAGGCTGAGCCGGGAAGCTCACTTTCCTGGCAGGTGGCTCAGACCAATGGGTTTGGAAGGGCGGCGTGGCTCCGGCCGTCCCAAGAAGCATCTCTGGCTGGGAGAAATAAGAGAGGCTAGGACACAGCCTGGCCTTGGGTGGGAACTACCCCAGACCGCCCCCTTGCAGTGATCTCTGTGCCTGGTGGTCTCTTGCAGTTTAACTGGTACACCCGCCGAGCCGTGCTTGCCGGCATCTACAACACCACGGAGCTGGTGATGATGCAGGACTCCTCCCCGGACTTCACCGACACATGGCGCTTCTTGGATAATCGGATTCATGATGCAATGAACATGGGCCATACTGCCAAGCAGGTGATTTGGGGCTAACCATTGAGGACATTTCCCTGCCAGGTACCCCCGTCTGCCTGGGGCCCCAGCTGGTCGCCTGGTTGTTGTCTGACTCCCTTTGGGGCTCAGCCGATGCTCCCGAAGGGCCTACCAGTTAGCGCTATGTTAGTGCTGCCTGTGGGTCAGCCAGGCCTGGTGATGACGGATTCCTCTTCCACTCCCAGGTGTCTCACACACCTGCCCCGACCCCCCCTTAGCAGTTGTGGTGGGGGTTGATGGGAACCTGACTCTGGCTCCTTCTAGGTCAAGTCCACTGGAGAGGCTCTGGTGCAAGGACTCATGGGGGCTGCAGTGACAGTAAGTATCAGCCAGCTCGTCCTGACCTAGTTTGGAGATCTGAAGCCGAAAAGTTCATACTGAGATGAACCCAGGTGTAGCTCGGCTTCCTGGCCCCAAATACCAATCTCTCCCGTTTGGTTTTTTTGGCCATCAAGGGAGACTGCTAATTCTCTGGGTGCTGGTATGTCAGGTCACTACGACATAGCCAGGCTGCCACCCTGGAATCCTGAGCTGCCTCTGGAGGCCAGCATGGCCCTCACCCCCTCTGTCTCCATCCTTCTGTCAGCTCAAGAACCTGACGGGTCTAAATCAGCGCCGGTGAGATGGACGGGCGTCAGCGAGAGTGCCCAGAGAAAGCCAGCAGGTGCACTCCAGGCCTCGGACAAGTATGGTGTGGCATCCAAGGACAGGATGTCATGGGGCAGACAGGAAGGACTCCTGAGTCACTCTCGCAGCCTCGGTGACAGTCTTCTGGCCCAGGCACTTCTTCAGTTTCTATCAGCAAGGCAGCCTTGCTGATGCCTTTCAGCATTGCTGCTGTGTGCTTGAAAACTCCCATCCGGCCAGGCCTTCAGGCCTAGGAGAAAGGGCAGACAGGCACCCCTGACCCCAGCCAATCTCGAGCTCTGAAGCCGCCAGCCACAAGGTGGCAGCACAGCCCCGACCCATGCACACAGGTGTTCCAGCTCTGGGTCCTGCTGCCCTTAGCTCTGCACCTGGGCACCTCCTCCGAGGACCTCTGAGATAGAATGATTGGTGAATTTAGAGTCTGTAACAATGACAGTAAATATATTTGAAGCCGCTTCGTGTTGTGTAGTTTTTTTTCTGTACCTGCCAGGGCAGGTATCCGAGACCCCAGAAGGAGACAGCGCAGTGGCTGGGGAGAAGGCTTGAGGCTCGCAGCTGGGAGAGCTGCGCCCTGGGCCAGGTACTGGCCAGTAGCCTGGAGAATTACAGCCCCTCTGCATCGGGTGGGCCTCCCCCAAGAACATCACCTCCCCTGTCAGCGGTGGGCCACCCTCCCAGCCCCCTCCATGAGGCTGCCTTTGAGCTTTTGTAATTGTCTCCGCCTCTAAACTGAGGAGCTGTCTTCTGCTTTGTCCGAACCTGAGTCCCGACAGGAAGTGCTGTGAATCATCTCCAGTCTCGTGGGCTTTCCACTGGGCCCTTTGCACCTCTGAGTCTTCTCCGGCACCCTGTCAGGTTCTCAGCAGTAGCTGTTCCAGATTTCAGTCCTGTCTTCCTTTGTCCTTGATCGCATCCATCCACACCAGCAGACCACCTGAGTCTCCCTTTACCCAGATGAAATGGATGTGGAACAAGGGTCCCCTCGGGCCCTCCCCTCCCGTTTTAAGAAGTAGACGGTCACTCCTGGCTAAGGCAACTCCTTTTACCTCCTCCTTTCAGTTAGGGCCTCTTTCCTCTATGGGTGCTATGATTCTCAAAGTTCCAGCCACTCCTACATTTCAACTGCCACCTTTTGGAGGTACCCTCTCCCCAAGCTTTCTGGGGGACCTTGGCAGTTCATTATTGTATAAAGGCCCTGCAGGGAGTACACTGCTGGGCGCAGAGAACACAGCTGAAGAATCCCTTGTACCCTGCCCCCCGCAGCTACGGAACTGTAGATGGTGCATTTTTATCATTGGACTCGTAAAAGGCGCTGTTTCCCCACTGCGTGAGCTGGTGTGGAACAACCAGGCTTTACCCCCTCTGGCTTCCCGATTGCTACGAGGCAGAAGTCAGACATGTCTCCACCCTTTCTACCCTATTCTGACCCATTCCTCCTACCATACTTCTGGTGGCTTCAATCGTCCATTGCAGTGGCCACATAGAGTCCACAGTCAATGCCATTAAGGGGGCTCAGTAAGGGAGTTGACAGAACCATCTGTTTTAAAAATCTATGTCTTTTACTTAATTAAATATGAATTGATGCAACACAATCATTTTGTAACCTAATTATCAAAGATGAAAATCTTTAACAATCTCCAGCACTGGGATAGGTGGGAAATCGCTTAAGTATGTGGGAGCATCAATGAAGGGCTGTTTGGCCATGTTTACAAAAAGTGTCCATAGCCCTTTGGATCAGAAATTTTAAATTTGAAGAAATGTATTCAGATACAACTGTGAGCAAGGATGTAATCAGACCCAAACTCACTGCCGTGGATGCTCTAGGACAGGGTAGAACTACATCTTGGGAGGCGACGCCTGTGGTGTGGCTGGTGGGTTTGAACCTCTGGTCTGGTGGTTAGCAGCTCAGCTCATAGCCCATGCCACCACCAGGGCCCCTTGATCATGGAGATAGCCCTGTGTATAATAGAAACCAGCCCCATCTAAATATCCACCATCATGGAACTGATTAAACATTTACATAGGGAAATGAATTATTAAAAAGAACAAAATTGATTTGTATACACACACACACACTGGTCAAACACTCTTTAGAAGACAAATCTAGATTTTCTAGGTTTTTTTGAAATGATTTGCATGTTTATTCAAATCACATACAGATGGTTTTTCAAGGTCATTTCCATCGAACTGCTCTTCCAAATGTGTGGCCGCTGCTTCCTGGTGGCATTAATTTCCTGTGACCACCATAACTAATGACCACAAAAGTGGTAGCTTAAAACAGCAGAAATAAATGATCTCCCACTTCTGCACCATCCTCCCTTAGAAGGTGCCGGGGAGATTCCATTGATCTTGGCCAGCTTCTGGTGATGCCAGAGTCCTTGTGGCCTGTCACTCCACCTTCTCCTTTTCTGCAGTGTGTACGTCCCTGTCTCTAATAGGAAGACATTTGTCTTTGGGTTTAGAGCCTGCCCGGATAATCCAGGAGGACCTCAAGATCCATAGGTTGTTAACCTCTGCAAAGAACCTTTTTTCCAAATAAAGCCACATCCACAGGTTCTGGGGATTAGGACAGAGATACTCCTTGAGGCCGGTGGGAGGGGGGAGGAGGGTACCATTCACCACAGAGTAGGACAAGGGTCCCCTCAGTACCCTTTCTCTTTATCTCAAAAAGAGCTATCAGTCCTTTAGTCAAAGAGCCTCCCCATCCCCACCCCTCAGCAGTTTAGGAATTCGTGTGCATGATCCATATTTAATGGTGGAAGAAGAAAAATGCTTGCCTATTATTTAATTGTACTTGCTGAAGGATATTTATTCGTTGCCAAAGTATACTCTTGTTTTTCCAAAGGGCTTACAAATTTACTTCATTCTTGTTAAAGGCTTCGTTGTATTCCTACGTGCAGACGAGTATAGTTAACCTGAGCTCTAACGATGGACAATTTCGTTTATAAACAGCGCTTTATTCACAAGCACCACTATTTCTGCAGGAGGATTCTTAGAAGTATTATTTTGCCGAGTCAAAGGGCGTATGCACCTTTTTGCAAAATTGCTCCCGAAGAAATGCAACCTGGTACATTTTAAAGCGGGTTGGATTTACAAAAACCATCTTTTGATTAAACGTCTGGTCCGCAGGGTCCCGGCCTCCGACCGGCAGGGGGCGCTGTGAGCGCGGATCTGCGGAAGCGGCAGGGGGCGGCGCTGGCTAACTTCCGGCGGTGGCGGCAGCGGCAGCGGCAGCAGCAGCCCCGGCGCAGTTGCAGTTCGTTCACTGCGGAGGCCGAGCCCGGGGAGTAACGTCATGCCGTACGCTAACCAGCCTACTGTGCGCATCACGGAGCTTACCGACGAGAATGTCAAGTTCATCATCGAAAATACGGATTTAGCGTAAGACTTCCTGGGAAGAGGCTGGCCCGGAGACCTCAGGTCCGGGCGGGGGTGAGAGGGTCCCCTTCAGAGATGGCCCTACTCTTCCCGGGGCCTCTGGGTTTGCTTTGGGACCTGTGAGACGGGCCCCGCCCGGGAGGCGGTGTCTCCCTCACCGCGCTTGGTTGCCCTCCCCTAGGGTGGCCAATTCTATCCGGAGGGTCTTCATCGCCGAGGTACCCATCATAGGTAAGTGACTCCCTCCTTGCGTGGGTGACCAGCCACCTTCTGTCATCCTCCCAACCCATTCCCTGGAGCCTACGGCCTCCGGTCTTCGTCTCCGGTGCGGAGTAAGAGGAGGCATCCCAAAGTTCATAGGAAAATGGGATTTAACGTGGAAATTTCCCCAATCGGTTGTGAAGCCCTCGTGTCTGGGTCGCTGGAAAGAAAAAATCCACATCAGTGTTGGACCTTGTGATGCAGCCGTAACGTTGTGTCTCGACCCGCTTTTCCAATAAGCTCAGCCATATGAGTAATAATTGAGTACTCCTTACAGCCCGGGCACTGATAGGACTACAAAGGTAATTCAAGACCCTGCCTCGCAGCTTGTCCAAAGCTAGAGGGAGAGACAAGACCCAAATATATACCTCATGGCAAACTGGCAAGTGCCTTAAGACCACAAAGTGTTGAGGGAGGCGCTCAAGGAAGTGTGTGATTGCTTGTAAAGCCTGCCGGTGTTGGCAGTGTGAACGGATGAGGGAATAATGGGCACGAAGCAGACAGGCATGGGTCTCGGTCTGTATTGGGGCGAATGAATGGCTTGGGTTTAGAAGCAGTAGGAACTGTCACAGGATGAAGCAGCTTGGAGCCTGGCAGTGTCTTGCCGCCTTCCGACCCCCGAGTGTCAGAAGACATTTGGCTGTTGGGCGCCACTGCCATTTGACTTCCAGGTTCATTCGATTCTGTGTAAACGTTAATGAATGAACACCTGGCATGTTTGTCAAGTGTGGGGGACTATTATGCCCCCCACCTCTTTCCTATTAGCATGCCCTGCCTAGGAAAATAATTCCCTAAACATTAGTGGCTGTAGCGACAGTGAAGTGCTGAATTGCGTGATCTGCTCATTGTACTGTACATGAGCAATGTACCCTAAGTCTAAGGTTTTTCCCAACTCAAAACGAAGCTCACTGACATCAAGCCCTTTCAGACTCATAGCCACCCTATAGGACAGGGCAGAACTGCCCCTGTGTCTCGACTTTCTCTGGAGGAGTGGCCGGTGGTTTTGAACTGCCAACATTGGAGTTAGCAGTCTAATGAGAAACCACTATGCCACCAGGGCTCTTTTCCCCCAATTAAGTGCCTACAAAGTTGTGTTCTTGGAGGGAGGCGTGGCTGACTCAAGGTGGCAAAGTTAAATGCTTCTGGTGGAAAAATTCATCGTGAAGATGCAGGCTCCCACCCACCCCGTATTTTCTGGGTGGTACAGAGAGCGCCCTGTGCCTGCCATCCTCTTGGTGTCGCCTGACACCTGACTCCCCATCCCCGGAAGCGCTGCTTGGAGTCTTTGTGGGGAACTAGGTGAATAAGCTGCACCTTTGCCTCCTTCATGCTTCAGCCATCGACTGGGTCCAGATTGATGCCAATTCCTCGGTCCTGCACGACGAGTTCATTGCTCACAGACTGGGTGAGTGCCGGTCGATCTGCTGGGCCTCCTCCACCTCACTCCCCGGGGGCTTGGAGAGGGGCTGCTTGCCTGCTCTAAGGTGCCTCTCTGTGTCTTGCAGGGTTAATCCCCCTCATTAGCGACGACATTGTGGACAAGCTGAAGTACTCCCGGGTATGCTGCGTGACTGAGGAATATGGAGGGTGGGAAGGTCCTCACTGCTCACAGTGAGTTTTTCTGGCAGTGTCTGCGCTTCCAGCTTATATTGTTGTTGTGGCGCAACAGTGGAGATGGTGAGGCTGACCTTGGTCTTCCATGGTGGTGGGGCCTTGGCCAGCCTCCTCAGAGGGGAGTGCACACCAGAATGCTGGTCGATGGGCAGCAGGCTCTGTGCCGTGCAGTCCAATCTCTCTGCCCTGCAGTCCAGGGCATCTCCTGTCAGCGACAGGTCCAGAGGCTAACGGGATGTGACCAAGGTTGAAGTGAGGAGGGGGCCAGCAGCAGGGGCATGGGGATTGTCCTGAGGAGCTGGAGTAGTGGTGCCTGCCCCAGAGGTGTGATAGTTAAATAACCTTGCTAATTCTCTCATGATAACGTCAATGGCCTGCTTCAGATAGGGGATAGAGTGGGGACAGGATAGGTCACCTGCATCCTCTCACCAAGCCTGCATCAGATAACCCAAAACCCAGCTCACTGCCATCCAGTCAATTCCACCTATCAACCACCTTATAGTACAGGGTAGAACTGCCCCTGTGGGCTTCTGAGACTGATTGGTTTTTTATATATGTAAGTTTTTGGCATATAATTCACATGTCTAGTTTAATAGCCCAATAATATTAAGAAGAGTTGTGCAGTTATCACAATCAATTTTAGGAGACTATAATTCTTTTGAGGACTAAAAAGCTTCATATTTCTCCTGGGGAGCCGCTGGTGGATTCAAACTTCTGGCCTTGTGGTTAGCTGCAATTGGTGATGCTGAATTGACCTGTGTTTTACATTCCCAAGGGCATGTCACTCCTATCGGGGCTCCTTTGGTACGTCTTAGAAATAGAAGACATACACAAGCACACAGAGCAGTATGGAGCCAGCAGTGACAGGCACCTCAGGATGCCAGGCTTCTGCCAGTTTGTCTCATCCAACGTTCTCCATATGGGCTTCATGTCTCCAGATTTTTTTTTTTTTTAGAAACAAAACATCACAGATAGTGGTGGGGAGACTTGTACAACCAATCAAAGAGCAGTTTGTCAGCGTCTTAGATAAGCCCACAGGCCCTATGACTTGGAGTCCCCGTTACATCTTACTGTAGTGTTCCTCCAACAGGGAAGGTACCTGTCTCTCCCCCTTTTGTTGATCTAACAGGTCTCAGATTTACAGAGAGGTTGTAAAAAAACAATAATGTACAGCCGTTTCCATTTTACCTATCATTGCCAATTGTGTTGCATTCATTTTTTCTTTGCTTAACACTGGGATCGTCCTCGAGCATCTTCTAAGATTAAGTGACTTCTGAATAGCCACAGCATTATTAGCACCCAGAAGACCGCCTAGGGTGCAGTGGTAATCATTCCGCTACTCAGTGAGGGGCTGGGAGGAGGGAGTGTAGCTGTCAGCTTCCTTGGAAGTCTCCAAGCCCTGTTCTG